TTAATTATTTCTTCACAATCGATCTCTGCAGTGCTTCAGCGTTTTCCAACAGCTGTAGAGTAATACATGTCCGATTAGAAGTATTATTGATACCATGTAACAGAACATCGCTAAAAATATAAACTAAGAGATAGGTACCTAGGTAGGTTTAGTTATCTTGTACACACTCTTGTTAAACGCCTCCACACTGTTCATATTTGAATTTCACTGTTTGAATATTAATATATATATTTTTTTTTGTTTAGGTATAAGTATCGTTTGTTTAATTATTTCTTCACAATCGATCTCTGCAGTGCTTCAGCGTTTTCCAACAGCTGTAGAGTAATACATGTCCGATTAGAAGTATTATTGATACCATGTAAGAGAACATCACTAAAAATATAAACTAAGAGATAGGTAGGTTTAATTATCTTGTACACTCTTGTTAAACGCCTCAACACTGTTCATATTTGAATTTCACTGTTTGAATATTAATATATTTTATTATTATTAATATAGTCTAACAAATTTATCAAGTGACGGTTGCTGATTGAAATTCTAATATTGCCAAGTAGAAGGTGTCACATCCTCCCATGACTGACTTTCGGTTCGTCCCTGACAATACCCGTATGTAAATGTCAACATACATACAGCGTACTTAATCAAGACTGTAGGTACTTTATTTTATAACATTATAACTAAAGACCAAATTTAATTAAATTTAAAACACACAAAAATTGCACTATAAAAATGCACAAAGTTAGTATAAAAAAATTTAGATAAATGTAACTTTTATAAATTAAAATTGATAATTGGATACATTTATAAATTATTTTCATTAAAATTAAATCTTCTATTCTATTACTTAAAATATGTTTGTACAAAGAAAAACTATGTTCTACGTCTATACTAGTTATTGGTGCATATTTAAAACAATTTAATAAAGTAGGCGTTATATCTAAATTGACATTTGCTTTACTTGACATGACTTCATAGTAAGACTTTAAAGTTTTATACCTTTCATTTTTTTCAATTTCATACACACATTTTCTTTCATTTTTTTCCCATTTGGATCAGGAATATTCGTAAAATATCTTCAATTTTTCTAAAAATATCCATGCTTTTCAGTAGTTTACTATTCGATTCTTCCAAATTTTTAAGATTCATAGATAACTCGGATAAGTGTAATTTTATAAATGCTAAACCACATTTGACTGCATTATTTTGTACAACCAAAACTCTTCAAAATTATTTGCATAGAAAAGTGCAGCATTTAACCATGTTCCCCATCTTGTAATAATAGGTTTTGGGTAGTAAAGGTATACCCGGTATTCATTTTCTGTATTTATTAATTCTCGATGGTGCTTTTAGAAAAGCTTTTTTTCCTGAAATAAACAAAATAAGTTACATATGTATCTACTGTTTAAATAGGTACTTTTACTATTACTATTATTACTATTACCATTGTTAATCAATTTATTAATGTATGGATACAATTCTTGTTTTTTCTCTAGAACTCTCTGAACTGCGCGCACCATACATGTAATATAAATTAACTTCGGGAAAAATATTTTTAATGTTTTTGCTGCTTTGATCATATAAGTACTAGCGTCACTAATAAAAAGTAATACTTTTTGTTCAATACCAGGAAATATTTTTAACAATGAGTTAATAAACTGACAAATAGTTTCATAATTGGTGGATTTTAGTTCTTTACATGCAACTAAATATTTTTTAAGTTTTTCCAAAAATGATTTTAACACATGATTGCCCAGCTTATGCAAAGGAATATTTGTAGCAACAAATGCATTACATAAATCTTAAAAAAATACATTTTTACTATTCAAATTTTGAGAAGTAATCAAAAGCTGTTTTATTCTATATTCCTGTGTAATGTATTTATGTGTTGAACTAAAAAAATATATATATATTTTTGAAATAATATGTAGTATTTTACATGTAGTATGAGCATAAATACAAAACTTATTTGTTTTGGAATGATGATCTAATAGATAATTTTTTTCAGTAGACACAGATTTGTTACATACGAGACAATATATAACCTTATAAAGAGCAATCCAATTCTAAATTTTACTTTTTAAAGTTGATTTTATTTTAGACATTACGTAGAATACATTCACTGTGCAGTCAAACTGATCAAAGAAATAGGTATTAAGGTACCAATAGGTAAATGCATACAAATCGCTGTACTACTATGAATTTAATTACTACCATAAACATATAGACACTTATCACTCACTGGGCTCTCCAAGTTTCTAGAAAATTCTAGACAAACGATAAACGCTTATGATTTAAAAACTTGGGAAAGTTGCTAAAAATTGAAAAAAATTGCATTATAAAATTAAATATGGAGAATATTTATAGTATATTTAATCAGATATGATTTATCTTTATTGCACAAAAAGTTGCAATATCAATTAAATTCGGTTTTTAATTATAACTATCATTACAGGCCTGATGGATACTAATAAAGTAGTAATACTAAAATATTATTACTTTATAGTGGTGTGTTTAATCAATCCCTATAAAGTTAATTAATAAAAGATTATAAAATATTATATTTTTAAAATTATACTTTAATATTATAAAATACAATGTAAATATAAAAAAATATTGTATTTAATTTTTGAAGTGTACGCTTGTATATATTTTTGACTTTTATAATCTAAATTGGTTCAAACAAATTTGTTGCTGCTACTATTTTTGGTAATATGTATTATGGTCTTGATATTTTTCACAGTTAATTATATTTTATTTTATTAAGATTTTGTTGTTAAATATTTATTTTTATTTTGTCATATAAATCTTTTGATTTAAATTATTTGTCTAACAATTGAACTCTCATTTCTACCCAGCCATTGGCTGGGAGATGACTAACTCTATTGATGTCATGTCTTTTGTCAATTCCATTGTTATTTTTACAGTTGGAATTTAATAAATATTTTTATTATACACACTATATAGGCATGTTACGTCACTTATATATACAATAATTGTCAATATTAATATTGGATATTATATTTCAAAAAATCTCTTTATTTCATATTAGATTGTTCATTTTTTATCATAATGTATTTTTATGCAATTATTGTATTTATAGACTGATAAATGCAATTAAAATATAATAAAATGATATTAAAATATCTATTATTTTAATGTTGTAGAGAACTGAATGATGAAGTCTAAATACATTGATGTGGCCATCGTTTGAGCAAAAATATTCTAGAATCATCAAAAAATTTTAATAAAGTGAGTTATTAAAAGAAATTTCCTACTACAATATCTGTGCTCTAATAATATCTATAGTATAATGTAGTGGTTTCTATATCTTGTACCTATACATTCTTATGTTCTTTATTTTAATTCATTGTGAATATTAATTGTTAATAAATTAAATAAAGTAAATAAATATGTAAATAAAAATTTATATATTTATTAACTTTATTTATTTACGAGTATTAACCATTTTAATAATTTTATTTTTACTTTATTATTTTATTATTAAATAATTTGTTTAGAATAAAACTAATTCTTATACTAGCCTTATGAATTAAGACGGGATTTAAATGCATTTAAAATTTTAAAATATGCACTTAAAAAGCACAAAATATGCAAAATAGTTTTTGATTATTACAGCTATTTATTTATTGTGAAATTATAAAATCAAAATTATGATGATAAAATACATTGACACTTTGGCATTGTATAATAACAAAGACAAACAATGTTACATAAAATGGACACGTTTTTTTTAATACATTGACTATCGCCAATGTACAATAACAGTCGTCAAACTGTCAGTTCGTGTTTTGTAGGCAATAATGATAAACAAAGTAGATGAGATAAAAATATACTATAGGAAAACCAGTATGTAATGAATTAGGTACCTACCATACTATTACTATTACTATTAACTATCTGTTAATAGGTCTATGGTACCTACCTACCAAATAATGATCTACGAAAACGTAATAATATAATATTTTTAAAAATATTTTCAATTTTTGTGTTAGGGAACAAATTTATAAATAATAATTATGTATACAACAAAAAAATTTTAAATATATACGTAATATGCAAAAATATGCAAACAAAAATTTGCAATATTATTTATTTAAGTATGATCAATGAAAATCCATTTACTGCATGCAATTGCTGATAAAATTATGAACATACATTATGTCTATGCAAAAATCCGGTCCTTACTTGTGATATTTAAATTATAAATATCTGTAATTTAAAATAACATGTCTTAAATTAAAGTAAACATTAAGTTTAATAATTTTGATTGAATTAAATAGGCTAAATTACTTATATTTAAAAAAGGTAATAAAATAAATATTTTAAGTATGATGTGCATTTACACATATTAGTACTATACACATTTATTATAGGTAGGTATTATATTATGATATAGTTGGTAAGTACCTACAGTGGCTTGTGCAGGGGGGAGGTTAGAGGTTATACCCTCTCTCATTCACTTGAAAATATAAAAAAAATCTGCGTAATCTAATATCGAAACGCATATATTTCAGCCGGGGAAAAGCTCGTTATATTGATTAGAAATTGCCTTTTTTAGGATTCGGTTTTTAAATTACCAATTCCTATTGTCAAGTTGGGTAGATGAGTCAATTTTATGGTTTATTCATGATTTTTATTTGCTACAACTCCTCCCATCGAGAATTCCTGAGCACGCCACTGGGTACCTTGATTAATTGTCGGAGGTTGAGAAAACGCATTAATGATGGATAGTGATTTTTGTTTATTATTCTTTGATTTATCTTCATCTAGTGCACATTTTAAGAAGACTTGCAAGTCAGGACCTCGACGAAAAGTATCGCTTGTTAGTCGTTAATCGTTATCAGAAAAATAAATTAAGTATTTTTTGTTAGGTAGGTACATTTTTTATACATTAAAATGCTTGAATTTCAGTAAAAAAAATTAAAAAGGTTGTAAAGTGTTTACTTGTTGTGTTCCATATAATTTTCATTTTAATATTACTTACCTACTTTTAAGTGCTTCTTTAAGTTAGACGAACTTATCTTAGATGTTGATAATAGTTTCCCACACATAGGTAATTTACATTTTAAATAAATATTTTTCCCATTTCCGGATTGTAGAATTGGGGCCGAATTGTAAAATATTTGTTGGAAGTCGGCCAAGGTACAGGTTTATAGGTATATTTTCATCGCAAAACATATTTACATAAGTTTATTACAGAAGAATAATAATATTATGTACCCATTAACTCAATACGGATATAAACTATTGACTTAAAAATTACCATCGACTAATCCGACACGACACCGAAATACCGTCTACGGTCTACCGAATACGGATTATGGAATAACAACTCTCACTCGTGTTTAATTATTATTTATTAACATTTGTCACATCAATATATCATACTCGAATAGATATAAAGTATTAAAGTAGCAATGAACTCTATAGTGTGCAGTGTAAAGAAGGTATTATATAAAAATAAGATTAAGATAATAGTTTATAATTTATAAATATCACCATATTCATATATTGATAGTATACATAATGATTTATATAAATAAACCGTTTGTCTATAAATCTATAGTACTAGTTTTTTTATTGTTTATATGTTTGTTTATTGTTAGATACCTACTAATTTGATTCAGGTATCAGGTGTCTTAAACTGAACGAAATGATACTATTTCCATTTGCATATAATTGCAGATTTTACGATTTTGTGAAATCCAGAAATGCTAAAATAAATGCTGTATAAATTAATTGTTTTGGATTTTGAAAATATATAAATGCATATTTCAGAATAATATTATGACTTTAAATCGTTTGTTCCAATTTATATTATCGTTTCACGTATACCCTATACAAATATACCTATAGATGCGTTTACTTTAGTTAGGTCAGTTTTATTTTCGAAGCAGTTTTCATAATAATTGAGAAAGACCAGGAAAAAACTTAGGAAAATAGATAAATTTACGAAAATACCTAATTGTATTCATTTTTGTTTTCTTGTTGTAATTTATTTCAAAATGTTCGTAAAGACTTGAAATTTTGACAGAAAAATTATATTTGATTTTTCGATATGTGGTAAAATGTTTAAAACATTTAATCTATTTTTGAATTAATGATACATTTTAATTTTGCGAGTTTTTTACGTAATGTTTATTTGGTAGGTATTCTATTTCAAAGTTGTTGAATCAAACAGAAATGCTTGACGATTTAATAAGAGATTCATTTTAAGTTATACTTAGTAGTCAATAAGAAAAAGTTGAGTTTAATGAAATATTTTTTTTTCATATGAATTTTAATAGCAAATATTGACGAAAATGGTAAATACTATAAAAAATGTAAAGCCGAACTCAATTCAGAATCGTTTATTATTGGCAATGATTAATCGTTACGTACAGGTATACATTAACTTCCCCTTTATAAACTTTCCTAATTTCTCACCTACAACAGTGACCCACCCATCGTGCGAAGTATGTCCGTCTTTTCTTTTCTCTGAACTTTAAAAAATTATTAAAAATTACGAATTTAATGAAATTAAAAAGTCGATATCTGCAAAATTTTCAAAAATAATAAAATAAAAGGCTATTCTTTTACTTTTTGTTACCAAAAAAAGAATTCAGTTGAAATATAAATATTTGTAGTCCTTGTCTCTGTGAGTAATATAAAAAAATCTTTATTAGGTATCTCTGGAGACATCTTCCTAGAACACCCTTTTCATAAGTGTATACAGTGGCGCATGTAGGTTTTTATTTCGGAGGGGGCCAATCATTTATATCGCTTTTTTTGGGGAGGGGGCACATTATTTGGACAAAAATTGCTTGAATGTTATAACACCTTTCGCCCGTCTTTTCGCCATCAGAGAAATGAAAAACTCAAATCATTTTTTTAATGAACTGTAATATAAAAAAATATAAAACTCTACATTGCAATAAAAAAATTGTTATTAGAGTCGCTTAAATTAAAATTGAATATATTATATTTTCATACAAGAAAATACATACCTTAGAAAATTAGTTATGAAAAAGTTTTGAATTGACATTTGTCTCTTCGTTGTGACGAAGCTGTTGTACTCGCAAACATGTCAAGCTATACAGCTAATTTGTGATACGGTAAAAATTATACGAAAGTGTAACGAACAATGAAACGATCGCAGTGACTGTCTACTGATAAACAGCCGACGGCCGAAAATCGAAATGTAGAAAATACGAATGTTATAACTTTTTAGCAATATCACATTGGTTCAAATAAGCGCAAGTATCCCTGGGATTTGCCGACGGCGGTATCGTTGATAACGATAATTCACGCGGCCAAATATAGATTTGATACGGCAGGATAACCGCGTTTATCAGTGCGGCGCGACGTCGCCCATAGTAACCACAGAATACATTCACTCAATGTGATTCACTAAACTATACACGGACAGACGCTGTATCGATATTTCTCGTCTACTCCCGACGTCACGCTGTCCCCACAAGAAGTACGGTTACGAAAAAAATAATAGTTTTAAACCCCTGTGTTTTTCGTTTCGGGGGTGGGGGGTAGGCGCGTCCCCTCGGTGCCTCCAATAAATACGCCACTGAGCCTATAGTGTTGTAGGTTTTTTAATTTACGCCTGCGGTATTATCTACCCATACACTATACGGAGTGACTTTTTTTTTTTTCATCATGAACCGGCAATTTTAGATTCTGAATGGAGTGAAGAAGCCTTAGGTTTTACGAAAATGTTTATTTTATTATTATTATTTTTTTTTTATCTGCGCGCACCTTTCCTAAGTAGGCTTGACTTGCTTCAACTTTTAATGGTAGCAATGTTTCTAAAGAGAAACGTCGCTAGGAAGGTACTTTTAAGAGGTCATTTTTCAATTTGCACAGGAGTTTTCTCATTCAATTTTGGAAAATTCAAAAAATCAAAAACGGGAAAATATAAGGAGTATAGGTATTGGTTAAAATATATTACGGTCTTCTTTTTTTTATGCACAACTTTTCTACCAGCAATTTTGCTTCAACTTATAATGATAGCAATGTTTCTGAAAGGATCTCTCGCATATTGTAGTACTTACCGGTTTGAATACCTACGTTTTTTGATTTTCGAAACGGTATTTAAAATAAAAAAGAATTAACTGGGAAAAAAAATACAATTTTTATTCACGATTTTGTTATTTTAAATAAGTACTTACTACGTTTTCTAACACAAATATGGCTCCAATTGAAAAACGATAAGATACTTTTTTTGTTAAATTATTAATCTTTTTTTTAATGATGCAGTTATTTTTTTTTTTGATTTTCGAATTAGTTTTTTTATAATAATCTAGAAAAAACGTAGGAAGATTAGATTAAAAAAAATTATGTATTACCGAACTGTGCTAGGAATCGTCTTTCGTCAGCACTGGCTTATCGTTGCTTACAGATATAAATGAAATAACCTTATGTATTCTACCTTCCCAACTTCTTACCTATAACAGTGGCCGCTCTCATCCCCAGTATCAGCTTTTTTTTTCAATTAACATATTAACGTGTGATACTAATCCTCATCAAATATAGTACTTGAATAAGGTCTATGCTGTTCATAAATAATTTATAACAAAGTAGCTAACATCTAAATAAGTGTAATTTTCATTTTATACAATATGCAACATAGATAAAAGTGATTTTTGTTATATGTATTGGTTATACTGGGGTGTGACATTTTCTTTTTTGGTCCACTAACAACTTTTGTACAAAAAATCTTGCTCTAATCAAAAAATAACAATTTAACTTTAATGAATCATTTTGAATATAGTAGTTATTAGAGAAGTAATTTTTTTAATTTCCTTGTAGTAAATAGTAATAATTGGTCAAAGCTGGGGGAAATATATTGTTTCTTTTTCAATTTTCTATTTATGTTGTAGTTCGATTAAAAGTACTTGTAGAGATCTAGAATTTTCATAGAATACTTATAACTTGCTTTCGTATATCTAACAATACTCAGGCCATAGAAATTTGATAGTATTATTAGAATAAACACAAAATGTGTTTCATTTTTTTTTATCCCTAAACTTTGGCAAATAATAGATTGAAAATTTGTTCTATAACTTTAATACAAATTCTCAAATTTATTATGACTGACACTTGATTTTTCAGTTTTCCTAATTGGTTGAATATTGAACTAAGCAATCATGATGTAGTTAAAACTATGTCAAAAATGTGATAATGTTCTTAAACCATTAAAGATTATTAATTATCGTGTACCTACCAACCTGAATGCACCAAATAGTTTCACAGCACAATAATTTCCAATGTAATATACAATAATACATAATTCATATTATTACATAGTCAAAAAGTAGGGCATAATATTAGTTAAACCTAGCACATCAATTACCTATATATAGTGCCCTTCAAGTTACTGAAAAAAAAGAGAGAATTACACAATTAGCAATAATGAAAACAAAATGTTAGATGTGATTACATTAGATAAAACAATTATATTATTATTTTAATATACCAATCAAATTTGTTTATTTTGTACAATACTAACAGTTTTAAATTACTTTATAATTACTAATAGTCATATTATATTATAAAAGAGTACCTATGTATATTTATTTAATGCAGTCCAAAAAAATTTTAAATATAGACTCTTGCTGTCAACTATTTGTGTGCTTTTAATTAATTAAAATTTTAACTTATTTGTTACATTATTATACTTCAATGCTTTGGTGACATTGAATTCAATATTCAGTATTGCAATACTATTTAGACAGTTTATTATAAATATAATTTAACATTAATAGTATATATAGTCCCTTCTAATACTTAAGGCTGTTTGAAATCTATTGATTTCTTTGATTTGATACCTACTTACTCGGGAATATTTAAATATATTTTGAACAATTAATTCACTAGGTAGTTAGTTAGCAATATTTTTATTTTTATTTGTTTATCGAAAAATAACAAATTGCACTATATTTGTATGATTTCTATTTTGAAATTAAATAAGTGGACAACTATTCACACCAAACAATGAAATACATATTATCATATTTTTATAAATTAATAACATAATAAGCTAATGGTCATTTTGTGTATATTCATGCAAAACAATAACATTTTGGAAATAAGTACAATTTGAAAATAATGTTATGTATATATATATGAAAAGTTTATATATGGAAAAAAAAATTAAAATCTTACAGCAGCCCTGACCCATACAATTGTTTTTTTTTTCAAACATAATTACAATTAGGTATTATTATAATATAATAAAAAAAAGTAACTATTCACAAATATCAAATATTATCCTTAGAACAAATATCTTATTATTCTAAAGTCTAATTAATTTATTCTATAAAACAATAAGCGAGCTGTCAATAATCATTTAAATGTCTTCAAATAAACATTTTTAAAAATCAACACTTAATTGCTATAAAAATAAAATAAAGAAAAAAATAAGTATCTAACCAAACAATTAAATAATAATGGTAAACCTAAACATAATAAAAATATTCGCATAATAGAATATTTGTGTATTAGAGGAGAAGAGGTAATGTAGGGAATATTTATACATTAGAATAAAATAATTAATAATTAATTTGTGATGATCTTATGAATTAATTGACATGTTACACAATGTTGGAAGCATAAATAAATAGAACAAAAATCTTGATACAATGATTTATGTATATTAAAGAAAAATAGATCCCTCCAAACTTTACTAAAGAAAACTTAACAATGATGATTAACAAAATGCAATCATATAAATTGCATCTAGAAGGATCCATATTCTTGGCATCCAAAGATCAATGCAACCAATAATAATAAAATAATAATAATAAAACAAATTATAAGAATAAAAAAAGAATCAAATCCTATGTTTTCTCTATCAGCATTCGTATATCTTATCTAATATGATTTATTTTTTATGTTTATTTGTTTTATGTTTATCAAGACCATATTAATATAATATGTCAGGTTAACACGCATTATATTAATTTTATAAAAACATATAAATAGGACAATTTAAAATAATAATAATAATAATAATAATAATAATAATAATTATAATAATAATAATAAAATTAATAATTTAATAATTGTAGACCTATTTTATATACAGAACAACAAAAAACCATGTACATCATACTTAAAAGCTATTATAAGTTTATTCTTAGAAATTGACCTTATGTGTAATGTATTGTCTCTATGTGTTTAAAGTATATTATTTTTTTAAATTTTTTTTTTAAAATTTATATTATATATAGGTAGTATATTATTATGTCTTTGTATCAACAAATATCGCATCTTATAATATATATTTCTGGGCATCTGTTGAGGTTGCCCCATGATTATTTATCGATATTGTCATTTTTGTGAATTTTATTTCGTATTTGGAATTGAGATCAGTTGCATTATTAAAATAATAATATATATTATGCTATATAAATGTATATATATTTTTTTGTGATTATATGTATGTATATATATATTCATTTTCATAAACTATAACATACTAGTAATATTATTATAACTTATTTGTTGTACACTCTTATTTTAGTCGACCATCGTGGTCATCTTCATAACAGAGAGTGTTTGCAACGATCTGGCGGTCAACACCATCTGGTAAATAGGTAAAATATTTAAAAAAAAATCCACAGGGTAAGAATGTTTATGGTGCATCAAAATTTCAGTGAATTCTTCTAGATTTCATTTGTGAACTTTGAAAGACGATCTCGTAATGCCATGTTTTCTTTCTTTAGACGTTCCATCTCCTGTCTGAGACCCATGTTCTATAAAGGACAAGACATTCGGTATTAGTATATGTCAATGTAAAACTGTTTATTAGTAAAACTAAGAGAATTTTAGTTTATGAATAAATACATATGTACAGGATGATTCACTAAGAGTACTCATTCCATTTTTTTGGTTAAAGTTTGCATGTAAATATTTATCAAATTCTGAATTTTGGAATTTTCAAGTATAGTTAAATTAGTAAATCATCCTGTTTATATTTGTTGAATTGGATAAAAGTTTGATGTATTGTGAAGGCGGCCATAATGATCAATATCAATGTTTTTATAATTTGAAGCAAAAGTATACTGTTTAAAAATCACGTACCTATATACTTAAAAATGTGTCTACAGTAGAAAAAAGTCCGGTAATCGTGCAATTATATTAGGTACCTACACATTGTCATCAAATTACATAAGTATATTTTTACATAATCTGTGTATTTTTTTAGTACAGTTAATTTAAATACCTATACATAGTAATTGAGAGTTTTGGACATCCTTACTTGCTAGACTCAATTATGAGTAGGATAATGATAATTTTATATTTTTACAGTTTAATAAAGTTTGATAGTTTTTTACAATTTAATGACCATTTAAATGATAAAACTTTTTCTCTAACCTATTGTGCGATACCTATTTAAGGGGAAGGAGTATGGTAGTTTTTACAGACAAGTATGAAGTTTTATACCGAAAATCTAGATAAAACTGTAGAAATTGCACTTTTAGATTTTAATTTTGAAAACATATTATGATTGTTTAGTTTCTTTGTTATTATTATTATTAAGTAAAAGGCAAAATACTTAAAGTACATTTTTGAAAAATGTTCAAAATACAATTAAATATTTTTACAATTTTCAATAAAATAATTAAATTTCTATTTGCAACATATCCTAGTAAAGAAGCTAAAGAATCATAATCTCCGTATTCAAAATTGAAATCCATTGAACATAATTTCTACAGTTTTGTCTGGCTTCTAGATCTATAAACCAACTAAAATATACAGTTACCAATCTTCTAAATTCCGTGTTTAACTTTTTACAGTGTTTTTCTCAGTATTTAAGACACCTGCAACTGAATTGAGAATTCGAAAAAAGGACGCTCAGGAAATGAAATTTACTGTTTCTAATAGTTTGAAAATACAATTCTAATGATTACATAGTAACTTAAATTAGGATTTTTTTTAAAAAAAAAATCTATTATAATTTTATTAAATACTGTGAAATTTTACAAATATTTCTGTAGCTAACACAGCCATAGAAAATATTCGATGGAATATTTGGAGTAATATAATATTACTAAAAATGTTGAAAGTTAAACAATAGAAAAAAACGTTGGCACCTACGGTAATAATATACTCGTATTATTACGCAGGTGGCATAGGATTACAAGATTAGACATATCTATCAAAATTTAAATTTGATAGTTATTATTTTGAAAAGATAATAATATATTATTAATTCAAATAGTTGGTTTCGATATAGACATCAACTATTATATTATTATATGATTTTCAATTTATGACAAGAAATAGAGAAATAATTGCTCTGTTGATCGTTTCATTCCGTTATCATACCTAATTAATTATAGCTACGTATATAAAACGTACATTATTTTATTCTGGACTGGTTTTCTTAAGGTTAATTCTATTCCTGCTTAGAAACACGGTAGGGTTATACGTATATAGGTACCATAATATTATACATTCTGCTTGGTTTCATTTGGATATAGGATTTTTGTAAATTATTATAAATTCGGATATCGTCATTGTGATATGGTTACGCCTTGTATGCCTATAAATTATTTGATTGGAATTTGTTTTTAAACATTTTTTTACTCGACCCAAGCGAGTTAAAGTACCTCTTTTTCTAAAAATCCTGCTCTCAACGCAATTTGGTTCTCTTTCATTCGCCTAGCGTCTCTCGATCGCTTTGCTGCCATGTTGTTTTTTCTACGTCTTGCCCAGTATTTTTCGTCTTTCAGCCCGTCCGGCACAAACTAATGAAAAATTATGGTCAGTGGGATGTCACTTATTATAAGCGACAAATATAATGAATAAACCAATCAAGTTAACGAGGCCCTTCTCACCTGTTTCCTTGATTTCTTTACCATTGGCTGCGGCTTCAATTCTTCGTCGGAAAACGGCCTTGTTCTCGGATCGAAGTCTCTGCTGGACGACGCGAACGACAATGCTGCAAAAAAAAAAAAACACGAATCATAAGTATATAACATAATATACATTATACGCGCGTTGTTGATTGGGAGAATTAATTAAAAAATAGTTTTTAAAACGAAAATAATTTTAAATCGCAGTAACTATAATCTAATCTGTCGGTATTTAATGCCGATTGTATTGGACACTTTATAGAGCCGCCCAACGCCCAGTTTTATACTGATATAGTAAGTATATATTTCTTTTCGTTTGGATTTTAATCGTATTAGTCATACAGTGGCCCGTAATCGGTTTTCGACAAAATCCAACAACACAATTTGTACGAGTTTTCTGTAAAACTCGCGAATATTTTGAAATAATATTCAAAAATATATTAAACTGCTTTAAGAGAGCCGCACGTAATTCGACTGTAAAAATTGTTTTGCACGAGAAAAAACTACTCTGGCTATAGACTTGATTGGTAAATCATATTTTCACAATATAAAAAGGAGATTTTACACTACAACTTTGGTTTTATATTTTCGAAACTACAAATTACAAAATACAAAAAAAAAAAAAAAAAAAAAAAAAAAAAAAATATTGTTTAAAACTAAAAATGTTTAATTTGTCAATCTCGAATAGCTTATTTCACAATAGTGATATCGAATAACTGAATCTAACGTTGTACATTACAAAAAGTTTTTTTTGTTTTATGTTGAGTATTTGGCTTCTTAACAGAGTCTACAGCACGAGTAGATTTTCTCGGATTTTGGTAAACGTTTGAGTTTATTTCATGATTTCACAATGAACACATATAAATTATGATAAAACACGTGACCGATTGAAAGCGAATTTAAATACTAAATGTCTTCCATACACAGCGTCAGGAGCCCCCGAAAATTAGAAAAAAAAAAAATAGACGGTGGAAAATAAAATAATAATAACGGCCATCTCCAAATCGACCAAAAATAAAATTTGAACCCCCTCCCCGAAACTTGTCTTCGGTTATCTACACAGTCTTGTTATCGGAACCTTCACTATCGCGGTGACGGGTTATTGCATGGTCAATAAAACAAAACGAAACTCACTTGAATCTGCGGGCGATGGTGGATTGATGGTGATCGGGCTGAGCGGTTCGCTGGGCGACGGCGACGGTTCGCGTTTGGTCAGTATGACGCCCGTGCCGTTTGTCTGCAAATGCTGTATCGGATGTATGGCGACCGGCGGCGGCGGCGATAGGCGACCGTTGACGCCCGGCATCAACGAGCCACCCGGGTGGCCGGCCGACACTATGGCTCCTTGGTTAACGTTGGCCGCGGTCGTTCCGTTTTGCTGGTCGCCTTCTACCGGCAATCCGTTTTCGGACAGAAATTCGTCAAGGTCGCAATACTAAAACCGAACGTGTCGCAAGGTTAGGGAGATTATTCGCGGGGACATAGTATTGTTGTTTTACGCGAACGATTAAAAACGCGGTCGCGAATCTATTACGAAAATGTACACGGAAACGATCGATTATCGTTTACGAATCGCATTAAAGAAAAAAAGTCCCAGTCAATCCACATGGTTTACCTTAAGTTCGTTGTCGTACGGTATGGTTTTGTTATCCCAAAGGTTCGGTCCCAGAAACGCTGATTGCGATTCAACGACGTTGGTCCATAAAAGCTCGGTTTCTTCTTTTTTGTCGAGGTTCCCATCCCGCGGGACACCGCAAGCTTTACCTGGAAATAAACCAAATACGGACGTGAAAAATGCGTTTGTTTATATTGTCGATTAAAATATTATTACGTTAATTTTCGAATAACGCGGGTAAACAAGACTGCTGCAATACGATAATAATTATTATTATTTGGATCAAACGGAGCGTATTCGCGCGGTAGCCTTGAACGTAATCCAAGGTAAATGCGGACAAACCGAAATACCGCGATAGAATTATCAATAATTAATACCTAATTATAATACGCGAATTGACGTGGTTTTATTTGAGTATTATCTATTTCAGACGGGCATCATACGTGTATATAGGTATTTCTATTTACACTAAATAAAGAATTTGCAGATAGGTAATAGTAGAGATAGGCAGATATTTTTTTTTTTTTATTGAGAAATGTCGTGAAATATTAAAACGATAGGTGTACTATTGCGGAGTCGTAGACGACCAGGAAGCGTTCGTGTATAAACGCTGCAATCCGAACACATTAGTTCTGTCATTGAAATTCATTAAAATCCAGCTCACCGTTTAGACTAAAAACCGCGATTTCTAGACATTGTTTTTGTTTTACAGTTCTACCTAGTCCGTCATGTAATATGGGAAAACATTTCGAATCGACGACCGATTCCGGAGTATAATGCGTAAATTATACTGTGCTACACGACGGGTAAAAATCTATACTACGCAGATAATGATAATTTTACTATAGAACAGTCTCAATAAATATTATATTATATAGGAAGTATGTATAGTAAATACCCGTAAATGGATTTCTCATTACAAACGACTCAGTTTTTGCGTTATTATATACAACGATGGACGAGCTAGCTAATCAAGGCTGTACCAGCTCACGACAATATTTACAATTATTGCAATTTACTCGGTTAGAATCGCTTTTCGATGTCTTTTTGACTTGGTCGAGCGACAAACACAGTGCAGTATTACACTGAGTGTTAATCGCTTTGTGTACATTTACACGGGATTCATTTATATACATATTTTGTAATCATTTTGTTGCAATAGCAAATCGAGAAAAAGCTGACATCGTATAGGGTAATACGGAATTGGCTCTCGGGTGAAATAAAGTGTACGAATTGATTCCTATGTGTACAAATCTGTAATATTTTCATATTTTATTAGATTAATGCCTGGCGATGTGCTGGCAAAGTTCTCGTATTAAAAAACATATAATATAGCAAGGGTGAATCCAAAGCTCAATTGAGTAGGAATAAAAGTAGTCAATTAAAAGACATTGTGAATCAAAACATACTAATCTACAACGGTGTTTGGAAGAGGCAAATGAACCCGTTGTCCCTCTGGATCCCACCCCTGTAATATAGTAATATAAATAGATTATTTGTAATAAATTGGTTATTTTTGTTGTTCGTTACTGATCAGTCGATGACTATAAAACAAGTAGATGAAAAACTTGATGCATTTTTTATTATGTACTTGGAAATTATATTGAAAATGATTGTGGTTTGTGGCCAAAAATGTGGGCAGGTTTTTCAGCCACATCAGAACGATCAACAAACAGTTGCGAATCATTTCACGGAAAACTCAACTCTCGATTTTATACCGCCTACCCAAATATTTTTTTATTAATTAAATAATTGAAAGAGATCCAATTTAAAACATATATAAAGCAAAGAAGTACGCTTAAATTAAAATACAAAATAATTGTTGAAAAGGAAAAGTTAATTGGTGAAAATATTAAAAAGTTTAATGATTGCCAAATTTAACTGCAACACTTTTAACCGGTCTTAAGTATTTTAGACTGTCCTAAGTCTGTTTAAAATGGTAAGGAAATTATAGTTGATTGAATATATGATAATAATTTTAAAAAGTTAATTGAACAGAGTTTTATTATTATTATTAAAGCTCATCAAAACCTATTCGTATGTTACCTGTGAACAACTAGGGAACCAATTGGCAATTCGTATGTTACACGTGTTGAGAACCCGGGAACTAATTCGGTAATTAGGAACCAACTCGTAGTCGTCTATTATATATACCAGCAACATTCGTCTTCTACATCTATAATAAGTAAACAATCTAAAAAAAAATAGGCTGAGATCACACTGATGCGTGGATGGTTTAAAGAGGGAAATTCGGAAAAAATAATATAATATATAGAGGAATATATAATTGTAAATCTGTAAGACACGATAAACCATTGGCTAACGATTAGGTTTCGATTAAAATTCCTTCATTTATCGCCAAGGTAACCCAAAAATCAACAAAGAATTTTCGGTTTTTCTCATTTATCAAGAAAACTACAAAGGAAGTAAAAATATGACCCTTTCAATACACCTACTAAATCAAAAACACTACAAGAAAGTTTGTGTAAAATTTTGGATTGGAGTAAAAAAGTCCTGTTTACAGGTACAAAAAATAAAAAACCAAAATTGAATTAAATACATTTTTCGTATAAAACTGTAGATTTCACAAACATCGAATTAATAAAAGCCGCTGAGAAAAGGTTACTTTTTTTTTTATTTACTTTTGTGTCTCATCTCTTTTTCAAAAAAATAATAATTATAAAGTACTTTCCGTATAACTAGTGTCCGGTAATCACTATCCACGCATATAATTATTATTTTAATAAAATATTCTACTAAGACAGAATTACGATTTACTGCGTATTTTCAAAAAGTTCGCCTATTTTAATCTCGCATATTATCCGCGTATATTTTAGTTTTATTTTTTTCCTATTCGAGTTTAGAGTTTGGGTTTTTTTTTTTTTGACGCGCAGATTATTACCGCCCACAATATTAGAATATCTGGATATTCTAATATTACGGTACGTGTTCGTTTATTCGTAATTGGACGACCGAATCGAATAGAAAAAAAATTAATAAATTATAATAGGTACCGTCCTTGTTGATGAGTGGAAAAAAAAAAAAAAAAAAAACCCCGACGAAAACCGCAGACGACCGCGGGGACAAACGCTGCGGAGCCGTCGAAAACTTTGTCGCGTATTATTTGTAGAAATATGAACGAGTCGGGTCCGGCTGTGCAGCGCGCGGCGGATACGGGAGAACAATCGTGCGAGAAGAAGAAAAAAAAAATCGAAACTAAAAAACGCTAGCCGAAAACAGAGAGTGAACGCGCGCGACGGTGAGAATCGCGGACGCGAACCTAAATTTTTTACCGGTCTGGTAATTGGACCGCGGTATAGTCGCACGCAGAAGAATACGGCGTGTTAAATATAATAGTACAATTGTACGGCGGCAGAACGGCGCCGCCGCCGCTTGGCAAAATTTACAGTTGTGCGGTCGTTTCGTAATGCAGGAAGTAGGAAGCCGTATAATAACGGCCGCGGATTTGACACGTTTGATGTTCTCGCTCTTCCGTTGCGCGATTCCACGCCGCGGTTGTTTCACTTTCGCATCACTCGCGGGGGGACACCATCAATCCGCGGCCGCCACGCGTGTTCCGATTCGCCTCGTCCGCCGTTCTCTCCTCTCTGACACCGCTGCCACCGTCTCCCACCGCACGTCTTCGTCCGGTACTTTAAACGCCCGAAATTGTCCGAACAACACCCGTGCACAGGTTAGGACGTGTCCGAAAATATTCTCGTTTTCCCTCTGTACAATATAATATGGTAGGTACGTATTATTGATATCCGGGGACATTTCACGCGCGGAGAGATTTTCATGTATATATATATGTTTATAGGTACCTATATTATTGTATCTAAAAGAAAATATATATATATAGGTACACCCGATTCGGAATACAATCGAAGACTATATAACTATTGCAATGTACTTCCAATATGCTTACGATACTCGTGCTGCGAGTCTGTGACGGATTCATTATGGAAATACGCCGCAGCTGCCGAAAATATAATAAACCACCTCTATACGGACATCTTGAAAAACGTTTCGTATTCGATTTGATCCGTTTAATCGGCCGTTGAAAAGAATTCGAAATTAAACCGCAAATGCGTTGCACGCATACTCCGTTACATTCCAATGTCTCGAGAAAATTACACGGAATGAAAAAATTAGCACTGATATTTTAAACTGAATTTGACCGTTCTACGCCGCACCAGCGTGTCTCTGTGTATTAACATTGATATCAACCCCGGTGTATTAACCGGAACGTGCCGATGAACACGATAACAATCCAATCGGGTGGCTGATCAAGTTACAATAAATTGCACTGTTTACGATGAAATTGGTGGCCACAGGTTAGTTAGGCGACTCCGCTCTATAGCTACGGATTTTGGAAAGAGTTCGGGGATAGAACCGGACGGCAAATTTCAAATGTCGCGACAGTAGGGGAGAAAACCCCCTACTTTTACCATTTTTTACGGTTTACCATTCCCAATTTTTTCTCACCGTATATACAGGGCCTGAAGCGTGAGACTACCGATTCGTCGATAATTTCATTTATAAGTAAAAACAATATTGTCGGCTAATTTCGTTATTCTGATGATATTCAATCACACCCATGACGCCCCTCCCCCCCATCGATGTTTGATAACGCCGATTCTGCGTGTGTATTATTATATAGGCACGACCGTTTGCAACTAGGGTTTTCGTTTTTGTTTTTTCTCCGGACACTTTGCGTATTATTTATCCCGGCGGAGGCGCTGAACACATTTCGATTACATTATTAAAAGCGAATTTTTCAATTTTTCGATTAACATTCGGTCACGTTATTACTGTTGCGCTGTTATTATTTAAATGCTTGACGCGTGTCTCTATAATGTTTATGATAGAAAAAGCAATCCGCGAGTAAAACAACAAACGGGCCGTTCCGTATAATATAGTAAAAGTATTTTGTTATATTATTATTATACGCGATACTATATTATATTTATAATTGACAATCTGGCTAAACGTACGAATTCGATTTCGAATCGCACGTCCAGTAATTATTATCAAATATTACACACACGACGTAAAAGTAACGAAAAAATGCCAGCTATATGCGTGCGTAGGACTAAAAACGCATTAAGGGTTCGGTCTGTCGGCAAATAACAACGGAACTATAGGCGTTTTGTGTAATTTGTGACACGTCGAATTATAATAGGCACTATAGAGCGGCGTTTCTATAATTTATCGGCGTTAGACCAGGGAAATATCTAGAAAACCGGGTATATAACATTATAATAAATGATATGCAGGTGTAGTCGGAGAGCGAGCAAATCGCACAACGCATTGTGATTGGCCGAGACATTATCTATATCCACGGACCGCCATTTTGTATCTATTATCATTTTAAATTTCAACGTTTTTCCCGCCGGACAAAACAACAATATAATATATTTCATGCAAATACCTAATGAGTTTTATCTCGATAATACGATAATTTGTTAAGACGAACCGCATTGCGACGTGTTTTAAATGTATTGGCATAGTGAGTGTAACAACAAAAAGCCGTCTGGGTATGTAAAATAACAGGTCCATTGGATATGATTTAGCGATAGACCGAGGAGTTGGCCATTCTATTAATAGTATACGGGCTCGTCTGGTACGCGAAGGTTTGTTGTGTACCCGGGGGTCTTAGGTTTAGACCCGGGGCGCCGATTTCCCCGGAGCGGCCCGACAAAGGTTCGGACCGACGGGTCGGGTTAAGTTTTTCCGTTTACCCTCAGCTTTATCTGAACGCGGGCCGCGGTGGCAGACGTTATATTGAAACCGTCCCGAAGCGGTATCGCGATGGAACCCCAACAGGCGTGTTTTGCAAAACTCTCGAAAACTCTTAAAACCAGCTCGGGCACGGGGTGTAACGTGAAAATATTACGCGGAAATACGAATTACCGGGTGGCTGACTGTAATATTGTGGGCGCGTCCGGTCGAGCGAAAAAAAATTGTTCGTATTATCAAAGGTTACGCGGGCATAGAGATTATAGTAATGATTCGTGAGGGCCGCCGATAGTCTGCAATGTAATAAATGATAATGACATACCGCAAGAAACGGCGAAAATACATTTCAAAAATCATTTTACCGTTACCGTTTCACTACTGTATCTCGTTCGCGTATTATTATTATTATTACGATGTTTTGCGCGGGTTTTTTTTTTTTTTTTTTTTTTCCCGTTAATATCTCGCGGGCCGTTCGGAAAACTTTCTATTCGGAGTAGGAGGTATACCGGTATATTTTACCAACCGAATAGATTTCGTCCTGCGATTGCGTGCGTGCTACAGTTTTTCGGAGATTATCGCGTCAAAACGCGTGCGAAAATCCGAATTCCTTTTAATTTGTTCAACACACGGGTGCGTGTGTATTAAAAATTGTTTTCGCTGATAATCCGCACTGATAAAGCTCGGTGCTCGGTCGGTATTGGTGACGGTTCGGCGCGTTTCGTACGAGGAAAACAAAAATAATAACAGTGAAAAATACACTGCCCGCGAACACGTAGTAAACAACAGTGCGTTTTTTACTGTATCACGATCCGTCCGTTAAGTCGGCGCACACAACGGCGTATAAATTAACGCCGCCGTGTTCGCGCCCGTCTGTAACGAAAATAATAATAATAATAATAATATTAGAAAGAAGAAAAAAAAAAAAAAAAACGATTGTACCGTAGTGATGCCTGGCAAACTGTGCGACGGCTACAGTGTGCGCAAAGTGAAAGTGGTCGAGAGTCCGGATATAATATAAATAGAGAAAAAAAAATTATTCCGATTGCGCAACAGAAGAGCAAGTCGTTCGGGCCCGGAGGACTCGGCTGCAAACCGTTGTAAATTATTATTGTTATTATTATCGTTAAATAAAATACGGTTTGGTTTTTTTTTTTTGTTCGCCGCAAATAATAATTTAACTACTGGAAATAATACGATAAAATTACAATCGTCGTCGGCCGACAACGGATTTTCGTGCCTTTCTACAGCGTGCGATTTTAACGAAATTTCCGACAGGCGATTATAACGAAAACAAAAATTCGATCGATTTGATCAATACAAATAAACTGTACCTAGCGAAGGTCACGTGTAGTTATCATTCTTCTTAGTAATAGTATCACCGAACAATCTAAAATGTTTTTCGGGAAAAACTTTACCCTTCCCGTAAAATGATGTTCGAACTTTTTAGTTGAGCCGGTAATTTTAGTTTCGATTATTTTTGGCCTCGGTCACTAACATACAAGCGGTTTTTTTTTTTAATGACTTGTATTCCGTGCTTCACTGTACCCGCCATAGGAGGGTAGATTCGGATGTAGCCAGCGAAAAATCCAAAAAATCAACAAATCAAATTTACTTAAAATCCACCCAACCTAACAGGATAAAAAAAAAAAAAATTACTCTGTATTAATGCAACCATAAATATATAAACGAAACGATTAATTAGATCAGTGGTTTTCGTCCTTTTTTTTAATTCATGACGCTCTTATCAACGAAAATCCAACACTGCGTCGCCCTACCATCAAAACATGCATAATGCATTGAAATATTGGGTTTTAAATAATTTATAACTGTATATTTTAAAAGAAAATGATGATTTTATTGAAAAAAAAAAAATTAGTGTGCAGAAAAATAATAAACACATTTGAATATAGACTTTGTGGTAAGCCCAGTTAGTTTACACAATTTTAGAAGCAATAACGGTATTGCTGAAGAGCGAGTGGTGAAGAAGGAACATTAATATGTTCGAAAAAATTAAAATTTTTTATTTCCTCGAGGATTTTATGTCACCTCTACACTGGGTTCATGCAATTTCGGTTTGAAATCACTGGATTCGATTATCATTCAAATTATAAATAATATAATGATATTTCGCTTTCGAGTACCCGGCAGCTTCTGAATCATAATAATTATTGGTCACTGTCACCGACGATGCTAAATTTCATCTTTCCCTACCCTGGACGACGGTTTCCTTTTTGCGGCCCTCTAAGTCTATCGTTTTTTAAATATCTTGATGTCTTCCATCAAGCCCCTCATTGGTTCCTTAATCCCCCGTCATCTATTAATTATTGTCTGCATTTATTTAAAACGCGAGATTTTTTAATCGCTCGTGAAGGTCACACAAATATACCTATATTTATTTACAATATTATTAGTATTGTTACAAAAACAATATTTTCTACGCTGGCGATTCTATACAATTCGAAATTTATCACCAGTACGTAATTAAACTAATAATAATTTATAACATTTAGAGGCATATTAGAGAAAAAAATACCCAAGAGCAGCAGAGCTCAGTCACTAGAATCGAATTGTCCTCCCTCAGCACATACTTTTTTTTTTTTTTTTGAAAATAATAGGAAAATGAACAAACAAAGTTTTGTTAGAATATTCTTGAGATTTTTAATAAAATATAAACAGATGTCGGGGTCGAGGGTCAGACGTTCAAACTTTCTAAATGTAAAATATCTTCGACGATAAATATCCTATTTAGATATATATTTTAGCCAAGTATCTTACTTTCATAAGTCTAAAAGGGTAATTAAAATCTCGTGAAAACACGAAATCTGAGCATAAAAATGGTTGGGGACGGGTTCGAAAGTCAAAATCGCCAAAAAGCACATCTTCGAAACTTACACCAGGTGGAAGGTGGAATCCAAAAAAAAAAAAAAAGAACAATTCTCCCGCAACAACACGGTGAAGTTCATATTCGACCAAAATCCTATCACTTCAATTTTGGATAGAAAAAAAAAAACGTCGGGTTTTTAAGTCCAGAGAGAGCCGCTAAAAGCGTCCACGTACCGGGAAAAATATACGCACAACAGACACAACAATACTATGAATAGTCTCCAATTTCAGGGAAAATTCGACGGAAACACGTAACATCAAGTATTTTAGTAATGTTTTAATGGAACTGTACGCAGCCAACTCGCGGAGAACATAGGCTTTTCAAGAGGCGGTCGAAGTATTTCGAATATTTTATCGAGATTCGGAGTACACTTTCTTTTACGAGAACTGACCGCAGATTCGATTCTTATCGACGCCGAAACACGCCGCCGAGCCGTTACGGCCCGTCACTATGTAAACGCGGACAGGCCCAGATTAATATTATAAATGTATTTCGTCGAACGACGGCGGCGGCCCGCGTACATTACAACGGGACAGGCGATACGGACGAAAACGCCGTGTACGGTATAGATGGAGACAATTAATTATACCGTTCGGTTTTCTATTTGTTAACGGCGGCGGAAGGAAGAAAAAAAAAAAAAACGGCCGACAACAATTCCGGACTCGGTAGGAGATTGGCAATAAAAGAGAGAGAGAGAAAGAGAAAAACCAAATCACGCGAGGAGGCGGCGGCGTGGATTCCGGAAGGACACCGGTTGCGTCGGCGTCGTCGTCGTCGAGCGGGTATTTCCCGGCGAAAGTGGTTCCCATCTCACTTTCACCCGTCGCGCCACGCCGCCCCGCTACGTACTCGGTGCGGTGCGGTAGCGTAGTGTGACCAACGTACCAAAACCGAACGGTATTTTCCCCCTACCCTTCAAACGCCCGTCACACGGCGACCGTCATTCGTCGGATATCCCGTTATTCGCGAAACGCGCCGCGTCTGACGTAGCAACTGAACGGCGGACGGCGGCGAGGCGGCGCGAACCCCGCTCGCCGACCACGTTATATTGTAATTAGCTCGTCTATACGCACGAGACGCGGCGCATTCGGTTCCGTCTGGTTTTGCGACGGCGGCCGAACGTTTTCGCGCTCGTTAAAACACATACGCCGCACGACGTCTGGGCGCGAAGAAAGTGAGAGTTTTCGAATGTGCCCGCCTCCTGTCGGGTGTAGTACACGGTACACGCACGCACGCTCGCGGAGGACACGGGGACGTACGGCTCGCGCGCGGGAGAAACAAAAAAAGATACATGCTCGGTGTTGTGTATACGGACGCGGCACAGAAAAAAAAAAAAAAATAATCAAAAACGCTTTCACTTTCGTACGGTGACGGAATTATTGACAATGTATTAAACGGCGATGGCGGCCCGTGGGCGGCCGTTCGCGTATATCGCCTATAAATATAACATTATACGCCTAACCTGTAAATGCGGCGACGCCGGTACCTACGAACGGGCGGGCCGGGCGAACATTATTATCGGTCGTCGGAGTATCCCAAAGGGGCCCCGGCCGGAGACTGTTTCGGCGATCCGAGAAATCGTTTGCGTGCACAACACTCGCCGGTCCGCGACGCCGTTTACTCCGAAAATCGTATACACGGAGAATATTATAAATTATAATACCGGGCGGAACACAGTGGCGGGGGCGAAAATACATATTACGAATCAAGAAAAAGAGCAATATATATATATATGTGTGTGTTACACGGGAATACTCGGGAAGTGAGACGCAAGAAGGGAAAATTATAAAATGGAAATAATTGTCAATAAGCGCAGCGCATATTATGGCGAGTTTAAATAGCGTTCGATGAAAAAAAAAAAAAAAAAAACGACGACGTTTCTGGCCGTTTTCCGATACACGTTTGGAAAACGGCAAGAGATCGATTACGGAATATAAGAATATATACGCACCTCCAATCGTCTGTACGACGAAAAAATCTGACAATATTCAGCGATTGCTCGCGGTTTGGGTAATAATTGTCGGGATTTTTCGGAAACTATTCGGAAATTCGGGGGTGTTGCAGTGATTTACGGACCTGATCGAATTATACGACGACGTATACATCGCAAAACTCTATAGTCTTATTTTTAGATTTAAAAGTATGATTTAACACAATACGATTGCTGTTTTTATACACGTTGGAAATCTTGATTTTATTCAAATGTTTACAGAAATAATATTATTTTTAATGTGTTTAAATTTTCGATATTTGTGCGAGGCTAACGCGATTGTTATCCTCGTTTGCCGGACCTAATGTCGTAGTTTTAGTTCGTAAATTTGAAATCGATTTTTGAATTTAAATGCATACATCTATGTACGGATATATCAAAAAACTCGCTAAATTGTACAACATCGCACACCCACCTCGCCCACATCATAATATATTCTTATCGGTCACGAGAAAACAAACGATAAAAAAAAAAAATGTATATTTATATTTCTGTGAATTTTTTATGCCCACGTCGTTCGAGTATAGTTGATTTTTCTTTCTTTTTGCTACAGCTGTACAGTCCATGTATATACGAGGCTAACCGGTTGAACAAGGTTACCCCGGAAATAACGGAGGACCGCGCGCGCGAGTGAAAGTGGATATAATAATCTACTTGGTTCTTCGCGACGGCGCACAGATTTAACGTTATGTTTCCACGTGTCTATTAGAGAGGAGAGGAAAAAACGAAAAGAAATAAAGAAAAAACCGCGCACGCGTAAATTTTCGCGTTTTACACTGTGGTCTACCGTTAAAGTCTCCGCAAAAAAAAAAAAAAAAGTGTTATAAACCTCGTCGGTTGCCGAAAACCGACGACAAAATAATATTGCACAGGTATGGGGAGGATATACGATAATTATTGTAGTCCGCGGTTTTTCCATCGTCGCCGTTGTGACGGCGAATTTTCCCGGAAATAAATATTATACGTTAACGTACAGGACCGTTGAAACGTTTGTCGAACAAATTATGGAATCCACACGAACGATATTATAAAAAAAAAAAAAAAAGGAAGGAGCAAGTCCGTCGCTTGTGCGTTTGTGTGCATGACGTGTACGAGCTACGGAGTGTGTGTGTGCGTACGGATAATTGGTTTGGTTTTTTTTTTTTTTTGTTATTATTGTATTCAATATCGCTTTCTGTTTTCGTTTATTGTCACACGATATGTGAAAAGAATACGAATAAAAAATATATGTATACATGTATATTTTTATCTTTATGTACCATTTGTGATGTATTATATATCATAAAATAATAATAATATAATACTTATAATATTGTGTAATAACAATAATAATAAAACTACCTACTTAGATAAATTGATTAACGTCCTAAAAAATCCCTGCGCGCCGACCGTCGTCATTATGTGCCGTCTGCGATGACGATTATAAAACTTTCCAATTTCACTCGTTAATATTCCGTTAAGGACGCGCGTTCTTATGTATGTATGTATGTATGTATGTATGCGTGTGCGCGGCATAATGTTATACAGAAAAAAAAAAACAAAACAAAACAAAAAAAAAAAAAAATTAGTAGGTAAGTAATACAATAATTAGTTGACCATTGAAATTGAAAGTGAATTATGCGGTCGCAATAATATTATGGTATCGCACATCGACGAGACTCAATGATCGAACGAACTACTGTCGGCCAGTCAGGGGGCTGCATCAGATACGAATTTAGAACATAACGGAAAAAAAATAACTATAACCGCAAATACTTCGTGCAGAGTTCGCAATCGCCGTTGTAAAGTTTAGTTAAAGTCGAATTATGCAGTTTGGAAGGTTAGCCGTAATGTTTAGTTTGTGTGTACCGGGAGTAACGGGAAATCGTTACAATCGAAAAACGATTCTGAGCGGAGCTGGGTAATAATAGTATTTGTACTCAGTTCTGGCCTGAAAGCAAAATGGAAATTAACGAAAATGTAACCCATGTATCGACCGAAATTTTAGTAATATTGCCGTCGGTTTTAAAATTGGGGTTTTTTTTTTTTTCGGAAAATTTGCGAATCTAGATTTGTTTTCAAACAAAGGGTACCGCCGGGCTAGAAATCCGTCGATGTTGTGAATGACCCGGAGCATTTCTACTATAAATTACCGAAAAGGCATTTTGGAGTTGAGGAAGGGGAGGCGGAAACGGCACATCTTATAGTAAAAACTAATAGCTTATTGTTCGCTATGCTCGTAATCTAAAAAACGTATATAAGTGTATTTTTTTTTATTGTAAAGAACACGGCAACCGCGCATTAAGCGCTTGATACGTATTACTCACAAATCTTTTTTTTTTACGATCACGGGTTATAATTCGTATAATCTTTTTATTAATCTCCGAGAACGCGGTATAAACGTTGCAGATTAGAAACTTCACCAGAGTAAATATAATATAATTCAAAGATAAATCACAATAAAATAAGTATTTCGCCCGATGCGAGATAATAATAATAAGACATACCGGAGTGATTTTTTTTTTTCAAGACGATAAGTAAGAATATAATTGTATGTGTACCTAGTGACACGGTACTATACTATAACAAATACGCGCGGCGTTTACTTTCATTTACGTTCATCAGTCGCCGGAAAAACGCGTTCACGATATACCAACCTGAACGGATGATAAAATTCACTCGAATCTCGAGTGGATTGGTGACCGGTTTTCCGTAAATTTTATTAATATTTTAATGGCCGCCGTATTGTAACGATACGACTTTTCCGCTATAATATGATGTATTGCTCGCGAAAGGGGGTACACGGCTGTTTTTGCTGACAAAGAGGTTACAAAGGCCAGACAAAACCAGGAATTATTGTGTTTGACGGATTTAAGTGTTCTGAAAACGTATATTGCAACATTCTTTAGGTTCTTTATCTCCCAGGGGATACGTCGGCATTATTATAATTTTTGTTTAGATTTTGATTGAGTACATTTTAGGCGATTTTTCAAAAATACAATTTATTTATTTTTTGGCGATTTCCAGTGAAATGATTGCATTAACATTTCCACATCCCGTCAACAAACTTGATATAGTAATCCGTTACGTACGATTCCTTCGGTTTTGTCCGGTCTAAATCGACTACAGCGTATGTACCAATAATCAGCAGTGGCGTTCATGAGTGTCTGCGCTGCTTCATGAACAAATTTTGCGGGAGATAATTAATCCAGAAGATATGTTAACGAAAAAGTACAGAAGAAGCGTCTGGTGACCTTAGTTACAGATGTAAATCTTCTGGTTTCGAAAATAAACTTCACGCCGCTACTGCATAGTAATATGTGATTGTCGTCTATCAGTAGAACGGAATAATATTATAAACCCTCTGTATAGGTAAATCTTGTGTTATGTACCCGATATTGTATAAACGACACACGCCGGGAAGAGGCGAAGAGAAGAAAATCGTACGTCCGTAATGACCCAAATGTATTGTTGTTCGTTATGAAAGCTTAATCACGTGTGCGTTCAAGAATCGAATAGAAAGTGGTGTGGTGCGCTCGTCTCTTTCAAGGTCGTCTCTTTACAGACGCATTTCACTTTTGGGTATTCAAAATGTAATGCGACGACAAAACGAGACAATATCATCTGTTTCGTTTCGTTGCGAAAGAAACTTACACCGGTCCTTATATTATTATTCAGGTTTTTTCCGACTGTCCGTTTAGAGTTAAGGGATTTTTTTTGTTTTGTTCATTGTATTTCTTCAGAGTTACATATTGGTAATGTACAATTATTATTATCGTCCACATATTGGCACACGCGGAGAAAAAAGATTTGAACATATATTAAGTGAATTATATAATGTTGAATTGCGAAATTAAGAAAAAAAAAAAAATCGTATATAAAGCATTTTGCTGATAAATTAAAAATCAAACGACAAAATGAAAAAAAAGCCCGTCTTCTTTTTTTTTTTTTTGTTACGCAAATATGCTTTGAACAAAATACGTATGATAACGTATCAGCGGCACTGTCGACCTTTAGTATGTGATTTTTTTTCTTTCTAACCCTTAAAAATAATGTCACCTTGAATGAAAATATTGTAATCACAAAACGCGTGTACACCTATATTGAATTAACTCGTATTATTATTTATTGGTTCAATTTGTTTTTTTTTTTTTTTTATAATTTTATCTCTTGTAATTTTTATCCGCTTATTTTTCGGTCTAAAAAGCGGTGTGTTTTCCAAATTGTAACTGAATTGAAAACTATGCGAAATCGACTCGAGCCCTTCTTCCCCGGGACCAATAAATTACAGTATATTATAATTAAACTATTTCAGTGTTCAAATTTACTACCGAAGTCGTATTATTTTTATTTATTTTTATCGGTTTTCCGTTATTATTCCCGTCTCGTACAGGTCGTTTGCGATATTTTGTGAGAACTTTGACATGACATTATGTATTATTATAGTACGACTTATACTACTACTACACATATTACACTCGTATGTATATATAAATATGTTTCAAGGATACAATATCATTAACACGAACGCGTTACGATAGAAATAATTATTAAACTATAAATCCGACCGTACGGGAGCTAGAATATTATTACGGCGTACGCGATTGTGCAGCTCAATACACCTATATCCACACAAGTCCTGCGACCTAAACTGCAATCGTTCAGTCGATATTCGTGGAATTATTATTATGTTTTTTTTTTTTTTTTTTCAATGATAAATATTATTATATTTTGACGCTGGGGGGTGGGGACAATATTCGTTTACCCTAGCACCCCGTGAAGGCGAAAGCACGCGAGTTACGAGGAAAAGAGCATTTCAGTAGGTATAATAACCCGTACGCGGCGTGTGATGCGAGATCGAAATCCCTTTTTTTTTCGACATAATATTAGCCATGTATAATGTACCCATGACATTTGTCAGACTATTTTCTATATCTAGACGTAATATTATCATTACACTCGCCGTGTGTACGGGGGGTACACAATATAATGCGCTACTTTTTTTTTCTATCAAGTATGTACGACGGAAAAATACGTATTCGTACGGGTACGATATTTTATTTGTACAAATAATATCGCGTATATAACGCGATAAGAAAAAAATAAATTCAAACTTCTAAAAATATACGATCAATCAAAATCAATACCGTTCATGAGCATCTGATGTCGCCAAAACTGTTGGTATTGGTTCCATCTGGTCGAGTCCGGGGCCAAAGATTGCAGTTGTTGCAGGTGTTGTTGCGTCTGCGCTTGCAACTGAGCGTTGTGATGCTGGTAGTCCATAACTATACACTTCGCTTCGTACATTTCGGATTAAAAATATCGCGGGGGAGGATAAGAGAGATAAAAAAAAAAAAAAACAAAAAACAAAAAAAATCCCGAATAGATTACGCGACTGTACGAGACGATATAATATTACTTTGTGACTACTGCTGCAGCGTGCGGACGGTATTCGAAAATGATAAGGCCGACGGCGTAACGGTATGAATATTACCCCGAGACTGGGAAAAACGAATAATCGCGCCCGTTCGCGGATCCGCGTTGATGGACGCAATCCGTCGGAATTCGCGAATTCGATTATATATATATATATATGAATTATATTAAGTACGTGGATACTTGATGGCAATAACAATGTCCGTCGCGCGACAAATCGTCACCACACAATATTATAATATACGAGTATATATTATTGCGCTTTCGTTATTTCTAAATGAAAAAAAAAAAACGAATTTTTTTTGTTTTCGCCGGAAAAAAAAAAAAAAAAATAACGAAACAAAATTATACGAATACTGCAAGTATACAAGTGTATGTGTGGCGGTTCGACCAACGACGACGGGGGCACGCGCGTTCTCGGGGGAACTGATCTCGGCACGCAGCACCGGCGCTGACTGGCCGGCCCGACGCCGCCGGTACCGTCTTGGCGCGCACGCCGCACCGTCCGTCCCCGCCGGCTTCGGAACCACGTACCCCTCTCACTACACACGACACGACATTATTTCGTGCGGCGACGGCAACGACGGCTTCTCTTATTAAAACGTTTACATTATTATTGTGTCGATAATAATATTTCGGTCTCGTTATCTGCTTCTCATAAATAATAATAATATACGGGAAAAAAAAAAAAAAAATAAATAAATAAATAAATAACAATAACGATAATGCCGCGCGTGTATAAATCATTGGCGAATTTACATTTTTCGTTTCTCCACGTCCCGTAATAGGTGCTCGGCCGCCTCCGTTTGTAATATTATTATTATACGCCCTCGTGTACGATACTGTTTTATCGGTCGTTTGAATAATTTCTGGCCGGTCGGTTTTCCGCCGACGGTGATGTCAATAGGTACTATTATTAGCCGGTGGCTAGGCACCCGATACTAAATATACGATAAAATATTGTGTTTCTGGTTTCCGTCGCGAACGAACCGGCGCAATAAATTGTTCCGATATTTAAATCGGCGTGATATCACCTAGATTACGGCTACACGGTGTGACGTGTACGGCCAATGTTGAAAATTGGACATCATCGAGTTCTCGTTATGATGTTGTGGCGAATCGGCCCATTATCGAACGGAAAGGCAGTAACACTGTACGTTACGTTTCTAACGTAGATTATTCTTTTCAGGTTTTCAAGCGAGTCACGGGGATGTTTTAAAAATGTAAGTATCGAAAAAAAGCAACGTGTATACGAACACAGGTGATATAAGTTACGTTTCGATTTGATAATATGCATATCCGCTGCAATAGCGAAAATTAACAGTACGAAATTGGAATTACCGATCGAAAATTTGACGTTTTTCAATATTAGCCGTAACGTCGAAAAATCGCCCGTGTACGAACTGCGATGTTCACGTCAATTAATTTATTTATTATCAATGACGTATTATATCCGGAAATCTCGAGCTACAGTGGCGTACCGGGAATGTTCAATGGAAGGCGATCGATTTTTTCCTTGTAGGTAACTTGGCTGAAATAGAGAATTCATTTGTATGCATTCTAAGATTAAATTATCGTTTAATACTCTCAGTTGTTATAGTTCCAAGCTAATGAAAAGGGGAGATTTAACCCCTAACCTCTTCCGCTGCGCACACCACTGTCTTGAAAAGAGGTTGTTGATATTGCACAATTCTAACATTCGTATACATCAAATAATAGTAAATTTTTCAATAAATATGAAAAACGAACGATTGACAAATTTACCTTCCACAGTATAGTTTTTTACGGGACAGTATAAAAACCCCCAGTCGTGTCCCTAGAAGGAGATGTGGTTGGGACTATGGGTATTCATATCCATCCCACGGGAGGATGAAATAATACGTTGCCTAATACGTTCAACGTTGAACATGTATATTACTAATAAAATAACACGGTGTGTGTGGATTTCCTTTACCCATCGACCCAACCGAGTTCAAATAAATAAATTATCGCAGTATAAACAATTATATTGTGGACTTAGTAAAACAACTCCAAGAAAAAACCTTGTATATTATTTTATATGCAAGATGAGTATATCGTCGTGGGACCCCGTGTATAATAAATTTAGACATGTTATTATAATATATGATTTTTACTTACTATGTTTAGCCCCCGTCCCTTAATTGAAAAATCTTCGTAAATTGCATTATCTAACATACGTATAGTCGTGTGTACACTTTAAACACTTAAAAAGTAGTTTCTAGAGAAATTTCGGGGGGGGGAGAGGTTGGTGGTTACTTCTAAACCCCCCTATATACGTCACTGATAATATAAGAACACTACGAAAGCGATTAGTCACTAGTCGCTAATGTATTATATTTTAAGGTCCAATTTTTGGACAAATTGTAATAATTCAATTCGATGAAAATTATATTATTTTAAATTATATTTAATAACCCTTATTCGGACAAATATTTTATCAGGTACGTACTGCAATAAAATGTTAAGCTTTTATATAACAATTATATTATACTGCCAGTTAAACGATTAAAAACTCTCTTATAATCAGACTGAAAATCTCGTATCTATTTGACGCATATTACATTATTTTTTTGTTTTTATCTTGCTTCATGAAAAAATGTACTTATTTCACTTCCATATAGTTATATGTTTAACGTCCACGGATAAATAATAATCATATCTATTTTATATTTTAATTTTGTTCTGGTTTTATTTCAACATAATATTATTATGTTAAAAAACGCGTAGTAGTTTATCCGTTACAATATTATCATACATAATGGAATACGAAGGTTTTAAACTTATCTAAATCTATACACACAATATTGTCTTACCATAAAGAATGACAGAAAAAAAACGAAGTTAAAAAAAAACTTATCTACATTTCAGTTTCAAAATATATTATTTTTATTTACAAGCAATATACTTTTATCTCGATAACCTTACAATATGTGGCGTTTAACATTTAGCAACAATTATATTATATTATATTTAATACAAATAATATAATTATAGTATATAAATACATACAAATAGGTACCTATATTCGTAATAAATTCAAAAGAAAATACGATTTACTTTTCTTTTTTTTAATCGACCTAAGTGTTTTTATATTTTTAAACACAGAACGTTTATATATTCTCATTTTTTTTCAGGGGGTTTATGGATTTTTTTACAGTATCTACCTAATATGTTTTTGCAAACAAATGTTTCAAAACTTTTTAGCTTTGACAAGGGGCTATATAATATACACGATTCTTCCCTCCTAATTCAAAAGCAGAAAATATCTTTTTTTTTATCGTCTTATTTTCTAAATAAATTCATAACAATAGACGCTGAACAAAAATATTGCATAGGAATTGTGAGTCGATTCAAGCAAAACGATTTAATAGCATGATCAGTAACTGCTTTTTTGCTTAGCAAAATATCATGTTTAATACATTGAATTTTGGCGTAGTATCAATTCGATATTAAAAAAAAAAAATTACTTCTAATATTAATATTATATTTAACCACGTTTTGATACGAAATACACTGCGTTTACGGTGTTTTTCAGAACGATTAAAAACGAGGAATTATTTCGTTGTCGATCCTTGCTTTTACAGTTTTACCTTTATTTTTATTTGATTATTACGTACCTGCACTATTTAGTAGCGGAATTAGAACGGTATTCATCGGTTAAATTAGATTAGGTTAATCTGACTTTTATTTCACATATAGATAACCGGAATATTATATCGCTACATTATAATATTATATCTAAATATAAAATAAAATAAACAAATAGATTATATTTTATAAATATATGGCCTAATAATCGTGTAATATAATAATATTATATTAAATTTAGACAAATTCGGACCCCGTGAGTATAATTAATGCTATTAATATCGTTGGGTAGGCAATTAAAATTTTTGACATTCAGAATCATAGCTGCGATACGGTACGATACAATGATATTTACGGAGACGTTTCACGAGAGTCTTTATGATAATAACGTGATAACGTTATTATAATCTATTAGGTTAGGTTTAAATTTATAATATCTATACAACTTTATCGATTATTAATAGACTGAAATTTTATATTCATCCGTCAATTATAGATAGCGGTATTATATGTACAAGTATTTTTTTTAGGTAGTGTAGATACATTGGTAGTATCGATTTAAAGATATTTTATTATTAATAATGTACCGTACACAGGTTTGAAAAAATTACAAAACTTAAGATACCGCTATAATAATATATAGAAAAAAAAATAATAATAATAATAAAATGCTTAGGTGCGAGAGTTAATATTATAATATATTACAATCTACTCGGTGAAGAAATTTCATTAGATATATTTGATCAAATAATATTTTAAATAAGTGAATTGGGAACGGTTTCCTCAAATTATCTATGATTTTTGTAAAATTTAAAATTTTTTTTATTTTTTTTTATAACACATAATGCATAAAGAAAAATTTAATTTTTCTCTACACGTGTAAGTACTATATACTTCTCTAAACAAAATCCAATTGAACGAAAAAAAAAATCGAATATTTACAGTGATATTAAAAAAAAAAAAAAAAACTGTATTGACACTCTGTATTTAATATATACGATAAGTGCCCGTAGTTAAATTTGAATTAAAATATGTTTCTAACAAATTCTATCGTTATAAATTATAATATAGCTAGTCATTATATTATGACAATAGTTAAATTACATTACAACTGATTTGTATTGGTGCCTAAACTTAATGCATTTTTTTTAAGTTACCTATAGGCCACCTGAAATATGTAGTTTTAAAGTGATTATAAGTTCAAGAGCAATATTAGACACCGTTTCGAAAATAAATTCATTATGATTTATTGCACTGTTAAT